CCAAGTGGTATTCCTCAATTTAGCGCGAAAATATGCTCGTATATTTGTCCTTGGACATTATCTATTCCTCGAAGCTCACAGTTTTCTTCTAGCTTCTCTCTAAGAAAACTGTTCGCTTCTCGGAACAGATAATGTCTGCGGACAAGTGTTCATGTACATTTTCGCGCCGAATGAAGGCTGTTGTCGAATGAAGGCCGTACTGTCAAATCCTCGGGCCGATATTCTCCCAGTACGGCCCTCGCGCTTGGTTAATAAGATATATGTAGTCGACGAAGCACCAAAAACTCAAACCCTAGTCTGAACTCATTCGAAGGGAAATACTTTTGTAAGGCTAAAATCAATTGCACTTTCATTAACACTGATGAGTTAGAGTTGAATTATCATTATAACATTCTTGGCCACTGGAGTGGGTAAGACGGGCTTCTCCTCAGATTTCAGTAGCCGGTTTTGATACTTCCTAACTTTATGGCAACTTTTTTGCGAGTAGCAAAGTTTCCTGTCAGTTTTTACGGCAGTGGAAGTGCAAAATGGTGTTACCGTTGGTCAGTTTGTGTAGCTATGAATTTGCGAAACGCATTGCCGGTCATTGTATGAACAACAGCCTTCATTCGGCGCGAAAATGTAGATGAACACTTGTCCGCAGACATTATCTGTTCCGAGAAGCGAACAGTTTTCTTAGAGAGAAGCTAGAAGAAAACTGTGAGCTTCGAGGAATAGATAATGTCCAAGGACAAATATACGAGCATATTTTCGCGCTAAATTGAGGAATACCACTTGGAGCATATTCGATCGCGCGCGGGTAAAAGTATAGGATAAATTACAAAACTGGATCATTTTTTAACTTTTTTATGGGTCTTGACAAAGTCGTAAACGTAAAAAAAAAAAAAATTGTTTAATACCAAAGCACAATGACCCCACGCCTGGTCAATCACGCATATTACTTAACTCTCATTTAATTCTTCGTGATAACGTTAGGGTACGTTCGAGATGAACTCGTCAGACCTTGTGGCGGACCTTCGTGCAGAGGTGACATTTTGGTGTCGACAGCTGCAGGACAAACTCAAGAAAGACACTCAGCTTGTTGACGGCTCTTCTCAACACACGCCCCTATCTCCCTTCTCCCCTCAGTTACATCCCCCTTTCAGGCTGATATCCCAGGGGCATGAACTGACGCCGGACTTGGATGAAAAAAGCCTTGCAGAAGTTGGCTTTAAAGATTTACAGGTGAAGTAGAAAGTGTAATAGGAGTGTTGTTTTCTATTTTTATCTTTTAGTATTCAAGCCAAGATGGTTGCAAGGAGGCGGCTAGGACTATTATTACACACCCCCTCCTCCTAACATATGACACACCCCCCCTCCCCACGCCTACATTCCCAAATGCACCTGTAGCGATTTGTGGGATAGTCTCTTTTTTTTCTTTTTACTGAATTTCTCTAAACCCATCAGTGTTTAACTGAGTGCTTGGACTATTATTACACACACCCTCCTCCTCACACATGACACCCCCCACACCTACACTCACAAATGCACCTATAACGATTTGTACGATAGTTGTTTTTTCGTTTTACTGAATTTCTCGAAATTCAATATAAATTCACATTTTTATTTATTTTTTTATTTTTAAACGCGTCAGTGTTAAAGTGAGTGCTATTTCATTGGTTTTGCAGCTTGTGTTTGTATCTGTTGGAGCTGTCAGGAGAGACAGACACCATGACAGTGCTTATATACCTTCTTCTTCTTTACCATCGCCGGAATGGAATTCCACACCTATGATCATTCTACTTCAAGAAGAATACTTTGATCAACTTTTCTTATTCTTAGAAGCTTTAGACGGCTTTATTGGCTCCAAGAGCAGCTCTTCTGCAAATCCCATAGGGGATTCTTCTCAGTTGTCCCCGATATCCAAGAATGCAGTCGAAGCCTACAAGGCACAAGATGACGGTGAAGAAATGGACAGTGGGTGTGAAAACCAAGAAAAACCTCCGCTGCTTCCACTTATGGAAAGCCGAGTTGAATTTTTATGCGGTATAACTTGGGAGCTGTTGTTTCTCTTACCGACTAATCAAACCATTCTCAACAAGCTCAAGTATTTTGGTCGAGTTTTACACCAAGATCCCAAGCGAAGGGACACCAAGAGTGAGGAAGAACAAACAACAGAAAAAGTTCAGCCGGATAAGAAACTTTGGGATTCGTTATTAGATCCAAACTTCCCCCATAAACTTCTTTATTCTCTTCAAGTGATAGACTTAATACACAATTGTTCAAAGGAATCACAAACGCAGTTTTCGCCCACTTAGTCACGTCTCAGCAGCGATTCTGATAACTCTGACAACGAGGAGGAAAAGGAAACGACAACCTCGCAAGTTCAGACAGCTTCGTGGGGACTGCAGTTTATGGAGTATAGAGGACTTGGTCACTTGTACACTATTCTTATGTCTGGTTGTTTGGAGGTCAGCGGGAACTGCCTATGGACACAGTGGAGGCAAGAATGTCTTGCGCACTTGTTGAAATTGATTTGTGAGTTTGGGACAATGAAGCGAAGTAATGAGGACGACGATGAGGTGTTTGCGTCGGCACAAAGTTTCACGAGTAATTCACAGATCCAGAAAAGAGACGGACAGTTTCGTGTACGGTACAAGAGTACTGACAAGGAGGAGGTGATCTGCATCAAGTGTTTGTCCTCTAATGTAATGTCTATTGTTGATGTGAACTCGCTACTTGAGAAATTACTACACATTTCTCATCAAGCAACTTTACCAATCCACGGAAGCCAGAATAGAGCCAGTGGAGGGGAGGGTGAGTCTTATTTTCAGCAGTTTGAGTTAGATTTCCCTACACATGATATACCCCTTCTGCAAATGATAAATTTCCCACACCATTGTCTCAATGCCAGTTAATGTTATCCTTATTTATATGGAGACTGCTGTACGTGGTTGGAATCGGCCATTTGCGATATATTAAAATTCGAACATGGCTTCGAGGCAAGGAGGCGCAAAAACAAAAGAAATTGATCATTCATCTCTCAACTTCGGTGTGATTTCTTTTTTTTGTATTCCCATAAGCCTCGGAGCCAAGTTTCAATTGTAATATATCGGAAATGACCTATTTAGAAGGAAAGATCAATCACGTGACCGTCAGGGGCGATAATTGGGAAGAAGTGGGGTTTGATTCAGAAAACACAATATCTTTTTCTATTTTCTATGTGATTACAATTTTTTTTAATTAATCTACGCTAAACAAGTTATGATATGTTAAAGAATCTCCCCTCTCTGGAACTGCTACTGACTGTTATTGGTCATGTCGACAAGGCGACCGGAAGTTATCTTCTGTGTCTCCTGACTCTGATGGTGACTTCAGCGTGGGTTGTTTTTTTTTTTTCAACGTCATGTGAAAATGGGAATAAGAACTTAGTGCCAAGTGGCTCTTGTCCACTGTTTCCAGGTTGAATTGGAATTTGGAATGTTGCTAAGGGAAGTTCATGTAAAAACTTTTTTTTTTTAACTTGCTTGTCAACTGATCTGATTCAGCATCCTTTCAACACCACTTTGTAAACTTGATTGTCTGGTGAACATGATTTCATTACTTATTCTGTGGTTTTTTTCGTCTAGTGGTTCATCACGCTGTATCGTTGCTTGTGTCGGCGGCCTTTACTGATGGTACTGTCAGGAGCTCCCTTCTTCAGCAAAGTAACTTCAAACCTTGGCTTCAGCAACTAGTGCTTTTAGCTAAAGAGGTAAGGCTCAAGTCTCTTGTTGTGTCAGTGTTTGTCAATGCCAACGCAGCTAGTCAGAACAGAGGAAAGAATAGTACAGAGGGGAAAGAAACCATGAGTTTAATGTGTTTTTTTTTTCTCTTAAGTGTCCTATAAATACCCAAATGAATACGCGACTTTACTAATACTGGGGTCAAAATGAACGCTGGGATTGGCCAGTCCTGTACCAGGTTGCCAGTTCTGGCCCTGCATCTCACGCAACATCAACAACAAGTCGTCACTCCAATCAAAGTCGTCACTCGTGTATTGCAGAGCCTGATTAGAACATGCTTTCTGGGGAACGAGACAGACTCTTTTGAGGTTCCCTCATCCAACTTTTCCTCCCAGCCTTCTGTGGAGACGGAAAATGACATGTAACACCTGTTGAAAAGGCATATGAAAAGTTGAAAACGGCCACGAGGGAGGGGAGGGGAGGGGAGGGGAAGAAGCTGGTGGGAAGTCTTGAACGTGCAACAATCATCCCCAGTAGGCTATTCATGCTTGTCAGCGAATAGACCTTAATTATATCACGAGGGAGGGAGGGGAGGGGAGGGGAGGGTGAAGGAGGATCGGAAGTCTTGAACGTGTAACAGCCACCCCTAGGAGACCATTCATGCACTTCAGCTAATCAATTATTTTGCAACTTTCAGCCAAGTGTACGATTTGAAGCGTGCCGTGGACTCTACAGACTGAGCCTGATCAAAGAGAACTCCTGCCTCACACAGCTGATGGATGCTTTGTTGGACTCTCTGCCTTTAGCGCAATCCCTTCAATCAAGAGAAAATCCAAACGGACGGCGACAAGAGCCCAGTGCACGGGAATACTTTTCTATTTTGTGTCGACTCGTGGATGGCCTCCCCACAGTGGAAGACGGTCAAAAGGTATGCTCCACATTTATTTACGTGTCCAACTACTCCAGGAAAGAAAGGTGTCTCCTCCAGTTTGCCTCGATAAAGGCGAGTGTGACGTTCAATAGAAAGAAAAAAGAAGTGAATAATAATAGTTTCGTTATCGTGCGATCGCCTAACGCCTTTTGACTGTGTACAGTTAAATACATTTTAAGGAATTCCCACTTTGGGTCAGTGTCAGTATCTAGGCAACTGAACACCCACCCCTCCCCTAACTCAGTATCTGTCAACCGAGGGGGGGGGGAGTAGATGCGTAGTTGCTCAGATACCTACATCTGTCCGTTATTTGTTACATGAATGAAAGGTTATGAAATTTTAAGGGAGCAATGTATTTAGGGTAACAATGTTTCGATGTATCGCTGCTTCAAATTTAACATGCTGGAGAAAAATGAGCGTAGTTTTTCCAAACTGTCAATTTCTTTTTTTCTCAGGGCCACGAGGTTGACTTGGACTCCCTGGCCAAACTTCTGGCCAAATACATACGAGATTGGTGAGTATGAAAAACGTTTTGATATGATTTGTCTCCCAGGAGGCACTCGAACCCTGTTGCTCTAACATAAAAAAACTATTTTACAAAAATAAGAGGCTAGAGTCTAATTCTGTTAAAGAAGTATATGTTGAACTGGTTAAATGAACCACAGCTTATGGCGTCAATTCCCAAACTAAGGGGTAACAATTTTGTTGTGAAAGAATGCTCAAAAACTCGACAACCGAAACAAAACAACAACAACAACAAAAATTCCGCGAAAGTGTCGACGTCTATTTGCAATGTGAAGTGTAAGTGTGAACATAGTGGACTCATTTTGTAAAATCACGCGCGCCGCACTTGAAGACAAAAAAAAGTATACGAGTGGGAAGGGGGAGGGAGAACAAGAGAAAAATTGTGGTTTGAAATATAATAATGTGAAATTTTCCACAGCCCTGTAAGGAGGAGAAACCTGTGGCATATAGAGACGAAACTGTCAGAGTCAGAATAAATGAAAACAGTTCGTTGTACAGCAAGTCGTTGTGAACGGTGAACGGCGCACGGCTGCGTTCAAACCTTGAATAAGCCCTACAGTCCAGTAAAAACTGTGTGAGAATTCACTCTCTTCTCGTTAGTATTAGTTTGCATATTCTCCCTACAATTCTTTACTGGTTCCCCCATGGTATCAAGAGGAAGAACTTGTTGAACAATCAAGAGCTTCTGAAGTTGGGGATCAGTTTCTTCATTCTTATGACCCGAAGGGTCAAGACTCCCATCCCCTGTTTCGCAACACAGACCAATTTAGGTGCAAATAAGGTGGCTCCCCCTATCCTTCCGTCATGCAATTCTATCTCAATCGTTTAAAGTAATGATTTTCTCTTTCACTCACAGCCAACCGTTCACCAAGCAGAAATATGGCAGCCATGAAAATGAAGGTCTTAGTGGAATGTTGAAACTCTGCACTGCTGTGATGAGACACGACCCGTCATTCAAGATGTCACCTGATGGTTTGGTAAGTGATTTTTGGATAGTTTCTTGCTTTTGTTTTGTTTTGTTTTGTTTTTTTCAGATATTTATTTCTTTATTTCTTTATGAGTTTTTAAATGTGTGTTTATTTATTTATTTATTTATTTATTTATTCTGTGTGTGTGTCGTTTGTTTATCATGAGTACCCATAATGTTCGAAATGGCCAAATTTTGCTGCAACAGAAAACATGAATTTCCACTGACGACAATTTGTTCTGTCAGATGGTAGTTGTGTGCTTATGAGGTCTTTCCTGATTTGTATTCATTTCATTCGATTGTTAGTTGGTTTTTGCATTTCTTGAGTCTGAAGCAACAATCGGTCACAAAATTGTTGACACATTGACCCTTTCAACCCCCCAGTTATACCTCTTTTTGCCTAATTAAGTTCACCTACTCACCCTCTCTTTCCCCCACCGTGATTCCATGAAGTTTTTGTTACTTACAGGCAGCAGTGAACAGGGGTCGGGTAGGGGGTCTTGTCAATGATGTGGAGTGTGGCAGAAATAGGAGTGTTCATTTTACACACCAATAAAACTCTTCAAACGTGATGTGTCAACTAATTGTGACACTGATGGTTGTTTTTTTTTATTGGAGATGATATTATCGTGAACTTTCGGAGTCGCCTGACATTGAATTATTTATGCCGTTTGTTTCCAGGAGTTTCTGCGAGATGTGTTCCGTTCCTGTCTGTTTTCTCTACCAGAAGATTGTTGTGATGAGAGGGATTTGCCACTCTGCAAATCCAAGGTAAACATGTCATGAAATACTCTACTGTGTTTTGGGAAATTGATTACGTAAGGTAGATTGAAAGATTGTAACTAGTTTTGACTCTTCGATTGGAGGGAGAGCATTTTACTACTTACGTTTGTTTTAAAGATATTTCGTTTTGATTTACTTCTTCCACGTTTTTTGTTTGAAGCTTACGTTAACGCACAGTAGCTCTAGTAAGGATTGTTGGGGGATGAAGTATCCTATTGTGTGTAGCGGCCAGTAATTAAAGCCATAGAGCTTCGGGATGAATTTTGTTTCTACAATATTGCAGCAACGTCCACATTGTAACTTATGCTCTGTTTCTATTGAAGCTGGCTAGGGGTGCGGCCTTCGATCTTCTTCTGGAGATGGCTCGAGGCTGCCAAGACAACTTCCTTGAACTTCAGAAACTGTTGATGAAACATCACAGCTCTGGTAAGAGTTTGCAATAGTTGTATATAATCGTTCGTAATGAATCAGTAGGCCAGAAATTTACCTTCTTCCTTTCTATCATAGCGCAAAAACACTGCGTTGGCATCAACCTCTAGCAGTATGCGGAATGTTTGTAACATGAACCACGTTTAGAGCAGCTTTAAGTCATCTATAGATCAGTGGTAAAGAAAAATAACAAATCGCAGTCATAGATGCGAGTACGGTGGAGATCACTGTGAATTTGTTTTCCGTCAATACGTCAGGTAGACGCTATCGCTTTATGGTTAGCGTGCGACACTCTGGATCTAGGATTCTTTGGTTTTAGCCCTCGACAGGTCATATTGCAGTTTTCTTTCCCTGGGGCAAAGACCCTTTTTCGGGCAATAGCGTCCTTCATTCTAGAGATAAATGGGTACTGTGATAAATCTCTATGCGCATGTTCCGTGCACACGAAATACCGCTGATCACTACGGGTACTGGTGTTTTCTCATGGAAGCTTGGTGAAGTGCTGGTTTTAATCAGCAATGGACCAGAATTCTATTCGGGAGGAGAAGCAATACTCCCAGTCCCTTCAGTCTACAGAAACTTGAGCAAGCTCCAGCGTAAAGGGAATCTGAGCACGAGTGAGTTAACTCACCAGCTGATAATTTGATCCAGTTTCTTTCTGTTTATAGATGGTAGAAAACGTTCCTCTTACGGCTGGCATTACTGGCCTCATGATAATGGCCGTTCACCGTGTGGGCTGGTAGGAATGATCAATTTGGGAGCCACGTGTTACATGGCCTCCTGCATGCAGCAGTTGTACATGATGCCACAAGCCAGGGCCGCTATTCTGAACTCCAGGGTGAGTTTTACTAACCCTTTACACCCTTGCATCAGTATGCATATCTTTTTTACATTTCCTAGTACAACAACCAAACTACCTACAGCGCGGGAATACGCGGGCAACCAAGCACGGGAAAACGCGGGCAACCAAGCGCGGGAAAACGCGGGCAACCAATTTGTAATTGGTTTTAATTGTACATCTGATTGGTCAAGAAAGTGGCGCGAGTTACCTAGACCAATCAAAGAGCGATGTAAAGCGAAACCAAAGCAATCCCGGATGACTTTCGACACTCAGTTGAAAATGCTTTGTATAAAAAGATTTAGAATGAAGTTTGTATCCCCCTAAGATTTCGTTTGTCAACAAGTCATCTGTTTGAAATCCGGAATATGCTGTGAGCAACTCAGTGAAATAAAGCATTTAGTCATCTTCATTAATGCACTAACACTTTTCATCGTCTCTTAGATCATCAGCGATGTTAAACATGAGGTACTCATGCGTGAAATGCAAAGGATGTTTTGTTTCTTAATGGTGAGTGGAATTTAGGTTAAAGAATTTTAATTGATGCCTGCGACATGGTGGCCAATTGCTTACCCTTGTTGCGCTTGACTCCGGATCAAAATATCCGGCTTCTACCCCGGGATGGATCATTGTGTTATGCTTTCATGGCACAGAACACTCGCGTTGTCTCCCATCTCGTAAAGTAAGTGAACGGGTACAGGTGAACTTTGTTTCAACGCAACCCCTGCCTGTTATAGAGTGCACAGCGGTCAAACGTCTGCGCATGTGCGAACGTTGTAATGACTAGGTGGCGTGCTTGCAGGCTGTCAGAACCAAGTTATCTTACACGAGTTACAAACAACCACACAAGTCAGTAAGTCACGGTGTTTTAGAAACGTGTAGCTCTCTTGGCAAAGCTCAAAACAGAATGCTTAATTAACAGGTACTCGTACTTCAATCAGCTTTGTGTTCGAATAGTCTCGAATATTCCTTTTCCCTACTTTTGTTTTCTTTTACATATTTTTATCGACGTTTCAATTATCTTTTACTTATTTAGCGAGAGAGAATGGGATGCTTCTTATGTTATGCTATGTTATGTGTGGTGGCGTTCCGTGAAGCGTTACTCCAGGAAGATCGAAGTTCTGGAAAAAATATACGTTTGAATGTATTGGGAAAGTTAATTTTTTTCGAAAATACAGCGCCTATTTTTTGTCTCTTTTTGTGACCACTGACTTCGATAGAGAACTCTCTGCAAAAAGAATAATTTTTCCTTGTGCTACGAGAAGAGTCCGTGAAATTTCGCGCCAAAGGCTGTCAAATAAGATCTTATTTCTCGTCCTTTTTAACCATAGGCGAGTGAAAGAAAGGCATACAACCCTAAAACCTTCTGCCGAACATACACTATGGACAAACAGCCTCTTAACACTGGAGAACAGAAAGACATGACGGAATTCTTCACAGACCTGATTGGCAAAATAGAAGAAATGTCACCGACACTGGTAAGAAATTTAATGCAATTTGTGGCTCATATTAGGCGCTACTTTCAGGCAGACTCAGAATCCGGAGATCCTGGGTTCGAGTCTCACTGATTATTGGGAAAATTCTCCAGTGAAACTCCTCGCTGTTTAAATCATCTTGAAGTCTTCTGATGTATTTGTCTTAATCATTTTGTTTTGCAGAAACTCTTGGTGAGAGATTTGTTCTGTGGAGAGATCAGCAACAATGTGGTGTCACTGGTGAGAAAACGTATTTACCAGAAATTGATTTGCCTGGCGGGCCGGGATAATTAAGTGGTGTGGCATAAGTGACCTTACCAACCGCAAGCTCGCGTGCTTTATATCATGGTTTGAAAGGCAACATGGTTCCTGAATTTAGTTCTTTAGTTTCCATGTTAAAAGATCGAAGGAAGGGTGGTCCATGTCTTGCTGTGATTGTGTTAACTTGATACGTAAAAGTTTATGAAAATCCTGTTATCAGTATAATCCTTTGTTTTGCATGGAAAGCACTCTTCGAGTCCCGTCTGAGGCTAATGTGAGTGTAGGTATTTTTATATGATGGCCTAGTTTTTGTGGTGGATCTCCCACTGAAAGATTTTGTGTTCTTCCATTTCGAGGACTGCTCACACGTCAGTAAGACTAGAGAAGAATTTTATTCTGTGCGGTGCACTGTGGCAGACATGAAGAGCCTTTATGTAAGAATATGTTTTGTTTTGTGACATCTTTCCTCTCCTTACGTCTCCCTTTTCGTATTAGATGAAACCTAAACCAAAACCAAAACCAAACTTATCGCAACGGCCAATCAAGTGGTGCCAATAAGAACTCTAGTTGGAAAAAAAAATAAAAATGTTTGAAGCGCGGGAAAACACCAGAGACCAAGCTGCGATTTGTTTTGGTCTTTTTAAATCGGATTACATTCTACTACATTAGCCGAGAAAGTGGCCCGAGTTCTCTGGACCAATCACAGAGCGAAGTAAATTAAAGATTAAGCAATCACAATATACGTTCGACACTCAATTGCAAATTGCTCCTTATTTTGGTGTCAGGAATCATTGGACGAGGTGACGATTAAAGACACGCTGGACGGAGATAACATGTACACCTGCTCACAGTGTGGAAAGAAAGTCAGGGCAGAGAAAAGGTGAGCGAAATACGGTCGGCAGAGGAAGGAAATTTTTACCAAGGGTATTCAAAACTGAATAATTAGGTTTTATCAGCTGCATTTGTAATCTAAAATGGCCATCGTAGAGACCACTGCAGCCGACGTTTGGAGCGTAAGCTTCGTCTGAGTGAATGGATGCATTTACACACAGAAAGATGGAGCTACGCTAATCAAGGGAACATGGCAACGTAAAAACACAAGAATAAATTAGTTGAATGAAAAGCGGTTGTTGAAACAATGGGGTTAGGAGTACTGATGCGAAAGATTAATTTTGTTCTAGAGTTTTGCCTCTGAAGCTTCCCTGTTTTGTTAAGTTGTTATTTATAAATGAAGTCATGCGATTTTAAGGAGGAATGAGTGAGCGGAGAAAACTAATAACTTTAGAGCAGAGCTTTACAAAAACTAATTATTATGTAGTCTAAATGAGGCGTGGCAGCGAAGCCTTTATATCGCTAAGGTTCTGACAAGTCAACAGTGCTACTAATTTTGTCTTACGTAGGGCGTGTTTTCAAGTTCTTCCGCGGATTCTTTGTTTCAACACTATGCGTTATGCGTTCAACATGGTGACTATGATGAAAGAGAAAGTGAATACACACTTCTCATTTCCCCTTCAACTTAACATGGCTCCGTACACTGAGGAATTTCTGATGGGAGACAAACAAGATCAAGGTAAATTGTGAACTGTGGTCGCAACTGTTTCCATTTTTTTGCTGTTGCTGTTGCATTTTTTTTGCTTGTTTGCTTGCAGAGGGATAGAGAGTGGAGAGAGTCTGGCTGTTTGTAATAAAACTCTAAGGTGTACAATTCTTCGTTATAATGGTCCATCTTTTGTCAAAGAAAGCGGCGGTTTCTTTCCTTTTCAGCTAGGCCCACCGACGTATCATATACTTAGTCACGGTGATATAAAATTTTCCCCAGAGGCCGAATAAATTCAATTTAACGTTGATTCTGGACATTTATTTGCTTTGAAGATAGAATGATCCTTTTCAACAAACGTATTAGCTCAGCTCATATTGCGTCTACTGGTCTGATAAAACGGTTAGCATAATGAAATCTTTGAGGTATGATTTCACTCTTCCCCCGTTAGACCCTCAACTCGATCTTAGCTACTGGTATCAGTTGATAGGAGTTGTGGTTCACACTGGTACAGCGGAAGGGGGGCACTACTACAGCTTCATACTAGACCGGTCCTCCCCCCAGGGGCGTGATCAGTGGTTCCTGTTCAACGACGCAGAAGTGAAACCATTCGATCCAGCACAGATCGCGGCCGAGTGCTTTGGCGGCGAAATGACGGTAACACTTAACAAGGCGTTGTTTTTGTTTTTCTTTCTTTTTCTCAAACAATGTTAAAACAGTATATACCGTGTACAATGAATGAGCAAGAAGACGAACCTATTCTGTCTGGTTCAAGTAAAGAAAAGTGTCCGAGTAATCTTTAGTAGAGATATCAACCAACCGTTGTCGGCCACAGCAGCCTGAATTATTCTGGGGAAAATGAGAGGAGAGTCCAATAGTTACTTTGTAACTGTATTGTGATTAGTCCCAGGCCCGGAACTGAGGTGAAAATCAAACTCAGTCACTTCTGAGGGATCAAACCCTAGCTAGTCAGTTTCAAAAAAACCAAAACTTATCAAAAAAAAAAATAAAACAAGCTTGTTTCCATAATCAAATGTTTTTCATAGCTTATCCGACGTTTATACCCCTCCTAAACCGAATGTTAGACTGTAGTATTTAGTTGGATAACACTGTAGTTTGCATTTACCCATTCTCATTCGTTGTAGAGGATTATTAGTTCGGACTTCCTTTCTGAGATGAATATGATAAATCAATTTATTAGGTAGTTATAACGCCACGAACTTGTCAAGAATACATTGCCTCAAAGATTTAGAAGAAAAATGTATTTCTTAAGTGTCTAAAGATGGAATTTGTTGTAAGAATTTTTCCTTTTTTTTCCGTTAAGATCCCCTATTCATCATCCTTTCGTGACCGAAACCCTCTCCCTGTTATTAAAATTTATTTTGTTTCCTACTGCAGATGTTGGCTCGTCTTTGCTTGGACGTGATCAAGATCCTGAGGCCACTATATGCAGGCCACACCGACAAGTACGTTTCGTTTTGCATATTGTACATCGCAATACTGCATATTACTCTACTTTTGCCTTAAATCCGCGCTGTAGCAAATGACTAATCAAGCTTTACAGAAGAACATACTTTTTTTCTGAAATTTATTTGTCATTTTTGTTTGTTTGCTTTTATTTTACGGAACAAAATATAATAATTCTTGTTTGTGTTAGTTTTGCATCCATTTTGAACTTCGTCTTGCTCTTCAGGGACGATGAGGAACCAGAGACAGAGCACTTTTTGTCTGTCAGCGGTTTTGTGAAAGCTGTTTTCAGATTGGTGAGTAAGCAGTTGTGCGTCGATCAATTCAAAGCTTCAACAAGCAACCCATGGCATTTTAACTTTTGAAGACTAGTTGTTTTTCAAATTCTCACCTCCCCGGGGGGGTGGGGGGCATAAAGCTTCAACTTGGAACCCCCAGGCATTTCAACTTTTGAAGATAGTTTGGTTAAATTCCCACCCCCAGAGCAAAAATTGTGTGCAAATGCCCCACCCAATTTTTCTGTAGAGGGCAAAACCAGCGCGACTTTGACCAAGCTTTAAAACCGAGACCTTTGTAGACCTTTTCTTCAGAACCATTCGCTCGCGGAAGTGAACTATTTATCTTAAACACCTCCATATTTAAAGACGGAAGGACTTGATACCTCTTGTTCAAATTCCCCACCCCATCCAGGCAAAGTTTAAATTCCCTACCTCACGGGCACGGACGAAGATTAAATGTCTATGGGTTGCGTGGGGATGTTGAAGCTTCGAATTGATTGGTGCATTAACTTCACTTTCATAACCAAGGGTTGCAAAGGTTGAGGTCAGAGTTGGTCCCTATAAAATAAAACACGTTGTTCTTCTGTTACTTACAGCTGGAACATAATATCAAGGCTTACGTCAAGAATCTTTCAGAAGTGTTTTGGTTCATTCACCAGTTCGCCGTCCTGGGAGGCAAAGAGGTAAAGACTACTAGACCCTCGTTTTTTATCATATTTTTGTTTTGATGTACAGTTTTGATTAACAGTTGCAAAGTGATGTTGTCATCTTATCTTCCTAAAGGCATTTATGAGTAACTGATGAACTCTCACCCTGACCAACTGGTGAGAGCACCAGCAAATTCTTTCCCTTTGAAATGTCAGTGACCATATCTGGTCGAAAGATCAGAATTCATATTTCGTACGGTCTTTAAATGAGCTGAAAAGTTTCATGGAAAAGGTATTAGATATTTGGTCTCATATCTCGTTTTCTTGACAGCCACCACCTATCTACTCGCAAAAATTTGCTTGTGGATATTTTTCTCACTCGCGGATTCTCGAAGTCCTCCCATTTTGCGAGTTTGCGAGTGTCAATTTTGAGTTCTGTCGAAGGGTTAATGAACCATGGTTTCTCATTATTTATTCTTCATTGACCGTTTTTTTATGCACGTGACGAAAATGTACGATGTGTTTTAGTTTACTTTTTAGTAGGGTGTCCAAAGAAGCCCTCTGTTTCTTTGGGTTTCCTCTTGCACAAAGGACACAGTAGTGAAACGGTCTCGTGTCATCGTCTGAGTCACCATCGATTTTTTTTCCCCTGTTTTTACTTCGTAGATTTGTTAAAAACTGACCGTCTGTTGGGATGTTGCAACTTTCGTTTATGGCGACTATCAACTGAAAAACGTCTTCAACTGAGTAATGGCAGTGTTATTCTTTTTTGCAGCGTGAATTTCTTCTGAAAGCGGACGCCATTACTGTGATGGTGGAATTCTAGCTGGGAACAAAGGCTTCTGAATTAGTAAGTCAACGGCTCAATCAGGATTCACATCTGGCCCTGTCAACAGTACGCCGGATAGATTTAAAATCGGCGTTGTTACCCTGAAAATGCAACAAAAGATTTTCGTCCGTGCCAGAAAACGCCGATTTAAATGTTCTCCGTCCACTGTACGCTGGATATATCTAAAACGCCGTTTTCATTCAGAAAATTTCAAAAAAGGGTTTTCTTCTGTGCCAGAAAACGGATGAAATGTTCTTTATCTACTTTGCACCGAATGGATTTAAAAATGCAACAATCACCGGCGAGAAACGCCTGGCTGCATTCTTGAGCATGCGCATATCGAGAGTCAAATTATCCCGCCAAAAAAAAATACAAAGAACAATGACGACCTGAAAGCGTTTTCGAAAAGCCAAATTTATCTGGTCTTATGTGGACAGGAGGGGGGAGGGGAGGGGAGGGGAGGGGGTGGAGTAGAGGAGAAATTGGCTAACGCCGTGGTACCCAAATTCTCTCGTGGTCTTGCGTAAATGGAATTATTGATTTCTCTCAGAACGACTCCACAACAGATGAAGATGATGACGGTGATGATGATGACGATGAAGAAGTAGTCACGATTCTCCCAGAAGATAAGTACCGAATGGGTTCGTTGGAGAAGATGATCTCTGTCATGGCGCTGTTAGTCGAGGAATCGCGAGGGGAAAGGTGGGCGTGATTTTAACCAACTTGGTTAAATTTGTAAAAGTGTATTCACACAAGAGATGGAAAAGCTAAGATGTTCTGATCCTTCGAGTTTTGATCCATTAGTTTGTTGCTCCCAATAAATGAAACGTAGGTCCTTCATCAGAAGCGTAAACAGATTAGATGAGAGCACAATTTTGCCCTGAAACAACAGTACATTCATGGAGAGCGCTATTCCATATTCGGTTACTATATTCTAAAATCGTGGATACCGTTGAAAGTGCGCTTTGATTGGCCACTCAAACTCCGAATATCCTTTGATATTAACCCGCGAGCAACTCGCGCGGTATTTGAGCCCGAAGGTATTGTAATCGTCTGAGGTAATATAATTAGTTAAAATCATATTTTTGTGCTTTTTTATCTCGCTATTCTATTATATACTAAAACAACTATTCATCTCAGTGTCGGTGTCTCCACTTCGGTGAATTGTTGTGAAATACTCCTAGGTGAAACACAGTGCTAAGCTGTGTTTGTAACGCTAGATGTGTGACACATGAGACAGCACACACGAGACTGAATCATTCGTATCGGTCTTTTTTCCCAAGCTGATCCTTCTCAAGTTCGTCTTCAGAGAAATCTTCAATTAACTGACGAAAGTAATCTAGGAATCTTTCGGTTTGCTTAACTGCGCCGTGTGATTGGTTCAGAAAACTCGTGCCACCTTCTAAACCAATCAGATGCAAGACTAAAGAATCGTGACTTGGTCGGCCGCGTTTTGCCGCGCTTCAAGCCGTATATCTGTTTCTTGGTACAGTCGTCTCTTTATACGTAACAGTCATTCTAGTCTCGCCGCTGCAGCCATCCTTTGTCATGCAAGAAATTTCAACCTTAAGCATTCAATTTCTAACGTTATTTTTTCTCGCATGTCAGGCAACTGCATCTTTCAGAGAATGATTTGGCTGCCTTAACAGGTGGAAAGGTATGGCGATATTCTGTGTTAAGCCAGGTTAATTTAGTGTAGTATTGTTTTTCAAAATAAACGACTTGAGAGAGGTATGTTCGCTCACTAACTCTTCGCTCTACCCTTAGTTTAATGTATCGCAATCGACACATCATTATCAACTGATCATTTCTTATCGTATTTTATTTCTTTTTCAACAGGGATTTCCATTCCTTTTCCATGCCATCAAAGACAGTATTAACCTCCGTCACACAACCAACTTGATTTTCAGTCTGTGCAGATACAACCTCAAGTTAGCGGAAAGCGTGAGTCAGCGATTTTCGCGTGTCTTTACAACTTTCACGTTGCCTTGTCATTGGTCTGTAAGCCTCGCGCCTCCTCCCTAACCAATCAGATGCAAAACTAAAATCAATCATGTCTTGGCCACGTGGGTTTTCCCGCGCTTCAGGCAGTTTTGTGGAGGCAGAATTGTTCTTTATTTTCTTGATGCTCGTCTGTGAGATTAATGGAAATGTTGCACTTTCATAAACAGAATTCTTACTTGGTTTTTGTTTTTTTTTTTTCCAGATAATTTCTCTGTTGATGTCTTCGGTTCAAAAACTTCCTCCAGAGGTTGGTAAAACGTTGCAAACTGAGCCGTTGATAAAATTCAAAAGAGTCCATTTAGTAATAGCTTATTTTTAAACACTTTCTTGTTTTTCCCCTGCAGCAGTCTCATTCATTCTTCAAGTTACTGTCAATGTTGACAGATATGCAGGGGGGTCCACCTGGCATGCCATCTTTTACCAAACTAACTCTCTCGCGCATCTGGGAGGTGAGCTATTTGTTGTAGTTTTCGTTGTTGTTGTTGTTGGTGGTGTTTGTTATTTTTATTTTTCATAACGCAAGATTAAATTTTTGTTCGCACTCTGTAGCCTAAAATAAACAAATTATTGCTTCAAGCTCAGATGTGCAACCTTTTTCGTAGAAATGCTAAAAATAAAACAGGCTTGAGGTGTTGATTGAGCATTTCTGTGATATATTTTTCGAATTGACCGAAAAAAAAGACTTCCTTGTCTTCGAAAGAGGTTCTGAAATAACGCTGTGTTACTGTGAAATAATTTTCCGTGTTTCTTGTTTATTGACAAGAGGATAATCGCGTCTGTTTGACCTTCCGCAGGCTGCCGAATACAACGCTGCTCTGTGTATAGACTGGCTGACTTGCATGGCTCCGAAAAACAGGATGGTATACGTCTGTTTTCTTTTTTATAGTACAACCTAGCGTACCATCTGGCTTGGCTGACTCGAACCTTTGCCAAACGCACTACCAATGTTAATAATAGATCGGTGTAAGATAGTAAACAGTATGCTCGAACTTCCCGAATAACCGTTTAACACCCGTGAGTGACCAAGACAGAATTTCTCCATATAACATCAGTACAGTATCAAGCAGACAAGTAATGAGAATAAAGAAAAATATCAGTTAAGGGATTATTAGTAAATTCGATACCTGATTCTCCGAACTAATATCATACGAATTGTATGGCGGTCAGTAAAGAGAATTACTAATCAGATCTTAAGAATGAAGGGGTCAGCATGCTGAATGTGAATCTCGTCGACTTATCCTTGCCGTTTATTGGTAGGCTCATCAGTGGGTGTTGGAAAACATGGACAAATGGGTGGAAAAGTATCTTATTGCTGACAACAGTCTCAGACTTAGAAATGGTAAGTTTATAATTTAACATAGCGTTCACTTTACACAGCGTGAGAGCAACTCGTGCCGAGACCGCTGCACTCGGTGGTTTTTGTTCGCTGCCACATTCTTGAAGTTGAAATGTTTGGACTGTTTTAATCTCGTAGATTTTGCAGCTACTTGATCTGCAAAATTAAGTTCTTCCAGGAAAGAAGAAACGTCCAATAAAATGTTGGAAAATTTACCACCTTCAAAGTAGAAGGATCAGTATGCCGTAACTGATGATTAAAAAAATCTGAGAGATTAAAGTTCACACAGCAACCAGGTGGACAATCAGACACGGTTTGATGCTACTCTGGTTTAAGGATTTAATGAATGTAACCAGGGAAATTACAATTCATCGACCCAACGTTTCGACACTCCTGTCTAGTACTTTCATCAGGGGTGATCTGATTGTCGCAGCAAGAGATCCTCATGGAGACTCAGAATTTTTCTTAGTCCCACGCTCCTTAAACCAGAGTAGCATTAAACCATGTCAAAAAAAATATGTTCCCTTAAAACTCAATGCTTCGCCCACCCGCAAAACAAAACTACGGAAGTTTCAATAAAAGCTGTTTACCAGCCGTCAACCGCTGCCCACAAGACCTCTTACCGCCGTCTGTTGAGCCTGCGAGCCTGCGTTTGGGTTTTGCCTTGCGGCCCAGCCTCCTACACTAAGGACTGCTGCTTATGGAAAACGTTATTTACCTTACTATATGAGGGTGTGAACACGAAAACATGTCATGGCATGAAATAGTATGGGTTTATAATTACCAACTTCTATGCAGTTTAGGTTAGGTGTGGTGTTACTCGTATTCAGGTCACGCAAGTTATGATTTCCACTTCAGTATTTCTCAATGTATCTTTTATTGCTGTGTTATGTGTAGCTTCTGCATACCTTCTTGTAAGCCTGGTGCCCAACAGTCACTTCAGACAAGGGTTCAGGTAAGGACAGCTCTGTGTTACTTTGAAAATTTCCCAGTGAGAATGTGACAGCAATCTTAAACCGTGAATCGTTGAGTGGATACATACATACATACATACATACATACATACATACATACATACATGCTTTATTGGCTCGTCCCCAAGGGGCTTTTCAGAGTCAAATCTACATTACACGAATAAAACCTAAGTACATAAAAGGATAAAAGATAAAAATTAACTAAAGCAG